TGCTCTTGAACAACTCGTAGTTCTTTTAGCAATATCTTTAACCCCAATAACTCACATATTCCTTAAGTCATTGCTCTTAATTCATCTTTAGTACTTGATTTTGCCAACATAATTTGCTTCGTACTTCAACTAAATTTCGACCAACTGATGTACGGTAACCAAAATTAGGCCTAGTGTCATCCACAGAACCATCCTAATCAGCATATATATAAGCTTCAACCTGAAAATGAGGATTCCTTGAGAAGAGTAGATCTTTGCTCAGAGAATGTTTCAAGTACTATATAATTTTGAAAACAGCTTCCATGTGAACTTCACAAGGAGAATGTATAAATTGACTTACCACACTAACTTCAAATGCAATGTTAGGTCTAGTATGAGACTAAGTATATCGACTTACCAACCAATCTTTGGGATCGACCTTTATTAACGGCATTACTATTGGTAGTGGCTCTTAAATTATGATTAGGATCAATTGGTGTATCTTCTGGTTTGCAACTTAAATGCCTATTTCTCTGAAAAGATCTATAACATACTTCCTTTTAGAGAGAAATATTCCTTTATTCGACCTTCCCACTTCAATTTCCAAAAAATATCACAAAGTTCCCAAATCTTTAATTTCTAACTCTTTTGTTAGCATCCGCTTGAGTCTACTTTTTTTAAGATCATTTCCGGTTACAGAATATCATCAATGTAGACAATTGTGTTTAGAAAATACATCATGATCACCTTGACTTTGTGTCTATGACTCATTTGCTTGCATTTTACAGAGAGCAATTCTCATTTAATCATTTCTTACTGCTTTTACTACATTTATTGCTTTCTGGAGATCAGATTTATGTCCCCTTCTTGCCTGTATTCTCGCTTTTTTTTATGATATATACATGGTTGGGGAATCCTAAACCCATCGCGACCTTCCTTAGTGGAGTCTAAAAACTCACAAAGAATGTGTGAATGTCTTTACAAAAAAAAAATACATCGATGAACTGCTTTAGTAAATCTTCAAAACTAAGCTCTGGGTGATTAATTGCTTTAGTCCATGCAAGGATTTCTTTAGTTTGCATGCTTTTTTACAATCCAAAAAGCCACTCTATATACACTTCCTCTTCTAGATCACCATGAAAGAATTCATTTTTACCATCAAGCTAATCAAGATGCCAATTTAGATTTGCCGCAAGGTAAAAGAAGAACTTTTATTGAGTTCATTTTGCCACTAGAGCAAAAGTTTCCTTTTCAATTCCATAAGTTTGTGTAAACCTCTTTGCCACAAGTATTGCCTTATATGTGTCAACTGTCTCGTCAATTTTTTAACTTTATTATAAATACTAATTTACATTTGATTGGCTTACTCTATTGTGGAAGGACAACAAGTTGTCATATATTATTCTTTTTCATTGTCCTAATTTCATCATTTATTTCTTGGAGCAGAATTACAAAAAGATAGATTAGTAGTAAATGCTTTAAACCAAGGACACAATTTGTGATACAAAAAAAATTCAAAAATAGGATGCAAAGTGTAAAATCTAAAACCTTTTCTATGAGAAATTGGGATAACAAGATCAAGATGCATGGAAGAATTACGTGTGTTGTACTCAAGTCCGATGATTAGTATCCGTTTTATTCCTTCTCGAATAAACCTTAATTCTCAATAATTATCTTGTACACACCCAAGAGGAGTTTTAAGAACTAATGGAGATGGAGGATCTTCATAAATGACTAGAGAATCATTTGGCACGATATGTAGAACATTAGATACAAACCTTGGGAATAGAAATAATAGTTGTACCTAGTTAATAAGAGAAGACCTGAACTTAGTTGAAAGATGAGACAACATGAGGACGAGAAGAAAGAGAAGTCCAAAATGGATCTTCAACATCTTGACTTTACTCCTGAAGAGAAGTTTTGGTGCAGAGACAAGTACTCTCAAAGAAGGTAAAATTCATGGATATAATCGTTTTCGTGTTGGAGGCTAAAAACACTTGTACCCTTTTTTAAGTAGAACATTATCCCAAAAAACACATTGAAGACTCTTAGGATCGAACTTTCTTGATTATGGTTATGTACATGAATAAAACGTACACAACCAAAAACTTTGGGCGAGAGAGATGTAAAAATTTAAGGTTAGATATTTATCTTTGAGAGTGTTGAGGTATTATGAATTTTAAAACTCTTGATGGTATCCCGTTGATAGGGTATTTAGCAGTAAGAACAGCTTCACCCCAAAAGTATTTAGGAATCAACATGGCAAAAATGAAAGTTCGGTTACTTCAAGAAGTCTATTTTCCTCTTGCTAACTCATTTTGTTGAGGGTATCAATACAAGAACTATTAGGAACAATCCCATGGTTGGTTAGATATGAGCCAAGAATTTGAGAAAAATACAATCTTCCATTATTGATGAATGTAATGTCGATTCAGATTTTTCTTTAAGCAAATAAACACAAGTAAGATGAGTATTTTCATCAATGAATGTAATGAACCATGTGGCGCCAGAGATATTATTGACACGAGATGGACTCCAAATATCATTATAAATCAATATAGAAGGTTTTGTTTCTCTATATTGTGTGAAAAAATGAGCTCATTGTTTAGATAACTTTCATACTTCACATTGAAGATTATGGGATTTTGAAAAAAGTAACAACATTTTCAAATATTGAAAGCTTGGATAACCTAACCATTTTTTGCCAATGCTCAATTTCTTGTTTTGAAGTAGACATAGAAGAACTCGTGTGTATGAGATATATTTTTTGAACCAATAGATTCACTTTTGAATTCAAAAAGTCCATCATTCTTACTTCCATGTCAACCATCTGCAGCTTTAACTTTTTGTGTATCGGAACACCGAGTATAAGAAACAAACAAATTTGAGTGCCTAGTCATGTGATCTGTGGCTTGCTCCGGAGTCAATGACCCAAGAATTACTTGAAAAGCTAGTGGCATTTAAGGTAGTCGAATGAGCAAATTCTCAAATGCATTAGATATTGCCAAATTGAAACTGATAAAAGAGGAAGCACAATTGGGTTAGATGGTGTTTGAAAATAAGATGACAAACAAGAATTCAATTGCATTGGAACTATCCGAAATAGGATTGGGAAATGCAAGAATTGGTCTAAATTGGTATAAAATGGCCATAAAAAGAAGGAACCAGCGTTGAACATGTATAAATCTACCAAAAAATCAATTGAACTTTATTAAAAACATCTGAACAAGCCTCGAAAACATTTTAATTGGGCTGAAAATTGGTTGAAATGGACTTAAAATTGTTGAACCAGCCTGAAAAGAGACTGAGCTGCATTGAGATGTGCTGAACTGGTACGAAAATAGAATTTCGGTGTAAATCAGCCAGTAAGAAGATAAAAAATTCCCAAAAACAAATTAGCATGTGACGTGCTTTGATACCATATTAAAACTTGGAGTTTCATCTTAAAAGATCAACCTTATTATGAGAAGTAGCTTAAGCCCTTATATGTTATATACATATTATATCATTATTCCATGTGAGATTCATTCTTTAACCTACTCCTGCAAGATGGTAGCTCATTTGAGCAGATAATCTATGTGCTTGTTTGAGTCTTAATCGAATCGAATTCCTTATTGAAGCTAAATGGGCTTTGGTACCATATAGGAAGAAAGAAAAGAGGAGAAATAATTTCTAACTTCATTGGTTTGTCAATGTTTACAAGGTTCAAACATGTGTGATATACAATTATAAAGGGAAAGAATTAAGCAATCTAATCTACAGCTATACAACCCCCCATAAATCTATCTATTCTATAGCTAAACACAACCTGATTCTATGAATCTGGACGCATTCTATGAATGGAAATACAGCTAATTACAGTTCTTTTTCCATAGTTTCAATATAATTTTTTTTATCTTGTCTTGTTGTGGAGGATGCACATTGTTATAATCCATCTTCAAGTTATGCTAAAGAGTACATTCATTTTTTATTTTATTTTTTACTTTTTATTTTTTATTTTTTTGTGTTGGAATAAGTCAGCCTGTGTGTGAAAAATGTCCATAGCATTGTTCTTTATCGTCGTGTTTGCTTTTCCAGGAGAAGGAGTTGGATCTGTAGTCTCTAGATTCGTGCAAGAAGCCGATACGGTATATGATGTTGCTTATTGTGCATATTCACACTCAAAAAGACCCATCTTTTTCAGTGAAAATCAGTCTTTTACTGCTGGAGACTTTGTGGGTTCACACGAAGGTCAAGTCGGCATCACTTATACCCAGCGCAATACAGAATCTAATGATCCTTTAGACAAACTAAATTGATGTACCCCTCAATCATTATTTTTTGTATTAGACTGCAGATATTGTTCTTGATTTGCAACCATTGCAAAAGCTTTAGTTGGTTCTCTGGTGACAATAAATGCTGATCTGGAGGTTTATCATTGTCATTGACAAAGTACTAGAATGCTCAGCTACTCCCATGAAAGTAAGTTTAAACTTCCAGATAATTTCTAGAAAAGAATGGAAACTTTTGTGCTATTAATAATATTATTTTTAGTATGAGAACAATGTTCTGTCGTAATTTTGTGTCCCATTTTCTAACTTCTTAGGAAACAATAAGTGAATGTTTGGTACACGTGAATAAGATTTTAACTTCTTTTCCCAGCCTATGAAACATAGTATACCTTCTATGAATGTAATGAACCGAATTCAAGTGATGCAAAAGCATTATCTTTATGAAAGAAAAATGTCTTAGAAAACATCTCTACGTGTAGCTGTTAAACAAGCCTCAATGCATGAGGCACTACCTGTTAGAAGTTAGAACCGAATTCAAGTGAAGGAAAAGCATTATCTTTATGAAAGAAAAATGTCTTAGAAAACATCTCTACGTGTAGCTGTTAAACAAGCCTCAATCCATGAGGCACTACCTGTTAGAATGGTGTCTTGGTACAAAAGAAATAGAGACAACAAACTGATAATGTCAGTGTACTTTTTAAATATAAAGTCGAGAATCTAACTACTGAAGTAGTACTCAAGATTGACTCATCACCACTGTGATGGACTTGGAAGTGGATCCAGGTGATCAAATATGTCCATGGGAGGGAAGTCATCCATGAAGCTGTCCGGGGTTACATTGTTTTGATTTTCTCCTTGACATGCAGTTTGAAAGCCACCATCTGGTCCAAAACATGATGGCAAGATAGGAAGTTGTCCAGTGCCCAGTTCAGAACCACTGCCTTGACCAAAGACATCATAAAAATTAGGATCTCCGATTCGTGGGACGAAGTCTTGGTTTTCTAGGGGTAAAGAATAATCTGGCTGGAGTTGTGGAATCTGAGGAAAGGGGAGTTGTAATTGCTGTTCATATAATTTCTTGTCAATGGCTGGAGTGAACTCAAGTTGAAGTGGGCTCTGTTCAAAATTGAGTGAACTGGGATACATTAACCCTTGTAAAGGCACCATTTTGATTGTCTCAGAATCATCAATGTATGATGATGAGCAAGACTGTGACTTGATTATTGATTCTTCCTCTGTCGACATGCTGAATTCTGGTGCCTGAGATTGAAAACAATCAGATAATTTCGATAACCCAATAACTTTATGACTTGTGTAAGAGTCTAAGCAGCCAGAACCAGAGAAGAACCGGGAATTAAACTACGTTAATCCTTATAAACTACTACTTGTTCGACACTTGTTACATGGGTTGTAGGTGGGAACTTGAAGAATTTTCACCCTATTGGGCGCATTTAGCACATTTTGCCACGATAGAAAGATAACTGACTCCATTGAGTTTGCTGCCACAGATCTCAATGGTTATATCACTTGCTCAACACTATACTTCAATTCTACCTCGTTTGTAAGAAAATCAGCTCTAACAGTCTCCATAAACATAGGTCCTCGACTTCAAAATGGTATTTTTGTAAAAACTAGTGGTTGATAAGCCAAATGACTTTTCTTAATCCACCCATTATAATCGAAATTGTGCTCTTTGCTAAGGAATGAAATCAGGGACAATGTTGAAGCGACCTTGGGTTATTTGCCGATCGGAACACATTAACATCATAATCAGCAATATGCAATATTCAAAAAAGACTTGGACAGTGGATAAACTTATTGCCCCATAAACTTCACCAGAGGATTATTAGTAGAATGCACATTCTTAGGTTCTTAGAGTTGAAAAACGTGTTCTGGAACAAAAAATTTACCACAAGTTAAAACAGAAATTCCGTTGGAGAAATAGGATTTCCTGAAAGACAGTCAAATAAAAAGTGCTGAGAATGAATAAACTTTTTATCCCCACGGAGGGAACACCATGAAGAGAAGAGTCTTGTTCACATAGATAGAAAACCCCCCAAAGAACCATTCTTTTACTAGAGTTTGGGGGGGTCGAAATGTAAAAATAAAAAAATCCTCAAGGAAAAATTCTTTGACCTGTTTTGCAAAGACAGAAATGGAATCAAACAAAGATTGATGAGAATGAGCCCTTGTCTAGCGTCAATTTTAAGGAAAATTTGGACCGTTGGAAAGTAGGTGAGCCCTTTCCAACTATAATATTTTGCTTCAAAATTAGTTAAATTACCATAAATGTCCTTTCAAAATTAGTGTATTAAATGTCAAAAGGGTGTAAATGTAATTCTGCAAAATCTGGTCAAAAGGTGTAGCTGTCATATAACTATATAACGTTAAAAAATTTCTAAAAATTCGGTGCGAATTGACGCCAGACAAGGGCTCAATGAAATTTTGCTTACCCCCAAAGAGGGAACACCATCAAGAAGAGAGACTTGGATTTCCTTGTTCTTCCTAGACTTGCTGCTGCATGGTGGTGCAGATGTCTGCAGAATCCTTGCCAGTCTCTTCTGTCTGCTACTCCAAAAATTCTTAACATCATTGTCTGTTCTTCCTGACAGATATGTGGCTATTTTAGCCCATTTGTTACCAAATTGTGCTTGAAGATCTATCACTGTTCTCTCCTCGTCTGCCGAAAACTTCACCCCACTACACGAATAAAACAAGAAGGAAACATGAAAAAGTCAGGCCAGTGTTTTTTTGTTCACGTACAGAGTAAAAAGTAAGAGAGAAGAACCATAACAATAATTTTCTGTGGAATATCTGAAAAACCATTCTTAATTGATTAACAGTGATAAATCATAGACAAAGAAGGGTTAATTTCTACGCACACAAGAGTGTGAGAGTAAACCTAACATAAAACGAACAGGGTTCAGACACATTTAACTCACACACAGAGCACATGTACATATATATATAACTGATGATGAGGTTGATGAAAATGGAGTGGCATTATTTGCATACTTTTTCAAGTTGGGTCGGAGTTTGTTAACCCAACGGAGACGGCACGACTTGCCAGTACGTTGCAAGAGACCTTTGGATCGAATGGAGCTCCAGTCTCTAGGGCCATATTTGTTAACATGGTTTATCAAAACCTCATCTTCTTCTGCTTTCCATGGCCCTTTCTTTATCATCCCCATATCATCACATAACATTCTCTTCCTCCCATCCATTCTCTATCAACATCAATTCACTCTCCACCACACGCACATACGCATATATATACTATATGCATGCAAAAATCTCGTCTTTTGAGAATTTTTCAGTAGATTTTTGTCTCTGGAGATATCGTCTTTCTTTTCTCTATTTTAAATGTTATCCGTGTGGGCGTGGTGTAGTGACGGTTTGGAGCGGTTATTGGCATTATCTGTCCACTTATTAATCCACGTTCTATTATTCTTTTGAATTCAAATTCAGTCCCCGGAATTTCAAAATTGTGCTGGCAGCCCTGAAAAATGAAAGAAAATAATCAAAAGAGTGAATTTTTTTTTATTTAATTTGTTAAAAATGTTCACTTTAATATTTAAACTACATCATTTTAATATTTGAATTTTTTTTTTTACACTACTAATTATTGATTATATTTTTATTGTTGTTAATAAATATTTTTATATTTTTAGGATTAAATATTTTATTTGCTAAATAGTTAGAATAATTATTATGTATCTGAATATAGTAGGTTTTATTTATTAGGTAATTTAATAAGTGTTTTTAAGATTACATAGTATTCAGCTATATAAATAGAATAAGTAATGCTTAATATTAATAATTAATAAATTGTTATTTTGTATACAAAGTTAATTTTAGTTCTAAATTACTAAGTTCTTTAATAATTTTTTAGCAAACCATTATTTAATATATATTTTTTCTATTTGAATGAATTGGAACATAAATTATTTGACATTTAATATTTATTCAATTTTATACTTTCTTATTATTTAACTGATTTTAAGATTTTTAATAGTTTTGAATATTGTTAAATTAGCAAGGTTGAATGATTTTATCAATCAAACTGGAGAAAAATGAGTAAGATAATTATTTTTACAATATCACTTATTTACTATGAAAATAAGCAATATTTCGTTTATAAATAGAAAATACTTATAAGTACATTCAAGCATGAACATTTTTTTTACTTAAAAATGATTTTTTTTCAAATTTACTTATAATTAAATTTAATTAACTTATAAACGGAGTCAAACATACTCTGAAACACAAAAATAAATATCTAAACCATAGCCCCATGGAAAATTAAATTTTCATAGTTAAAAAAAAATGTTATTTTATAAATCATATCTTGAAAAAATAACTTAAAAATATGTTGAATTTATTATTAAGCAAAACCAAACTTGTTTTGTTTAGTTTTTATGTAAATTCACCGACAGGTAAAATAATTTTCTTATTTGTGAAAGTTGAAAATAAATTAAATATTTATTTTGAGGTAGGGTAAAAGTTATTTAAAAAAAAAATGTAACCTTTCCGACTCAAAAGTTTAATAATAAAAAATTAGTTATTTGTTTAAGTTTTTTTATTTTATTTTTTTTGGGTCGCGCGATAGGATGGAGACTAGAGTCAGCCTTAAATTATATTTTTACTTTTCAAAAAAAAAAAAATACAAAGATAAACAAAATATAGTGTTAGATATTTACATAAGAAATAAGTAAATAACTAATATAAGTGCCCAATTGGGGAAAAGTGTGAAATTTGTGTGAGAGGTCTGGAGTTTAATTCACATCCCACGCGATTATTAAATTTTTTTTGATAAATATGTCCAATTGGTACTAGAATTCAATTTAAATCATTTTTAAGGGAAATGTCAAGCGTTCAAATTTTGAAAACGCAATAGAAACCCATAAGAATAAAATGGGCTCAGATTCTTCCAAAATGGACGGTATGTAAATTAATGACTTGGGCACATAGGTTGAATCGTTACAAAAAAAAAAAAAAAAAAGCTTAATTTTTTTGTAACGAGCGCATTTTTTTGTAACGACTCAGTCCCATTCTCTAAGTGTATTAGATAACTGAGTGTTTATATTTTGACAAGTGGACAGCTAGTTACGTTGGTAAATGACCAAGGGAAGTTTTTAACCTTCGCTTTAATGGCTTGGGCACAGATGCATGATGGATGTGTATTTTTTTTGTTGACAAGCGCATTTTTTTATAACGATTCATGTCTCTTGCCCGACTGTTCTCCAAGTGTTTATTAGAGAACTGAGTGTTTATGTTTTGACAAGTGCACAGCTAGTTACTTTGGTAAATGGCCAAGGGAAGTTTTTAACCTTTGCTTGCTTTATAGCCCACCTGGCGGTGCTCGTCAGCACCTAAAGCTTCTTGCAAGTTTCCCCACAATACTTCTCTATATGGTTGGCGGGTTGTCTAGCACTTGATCAATCCATTGTTCTAAAAAGCGGCGCTTAGACATAAAGTAGGTCCAAAACGTATAGCATCGCGCTTTTTTTCGCGCCTAGGTCCTAGAGCAGGTTTTTTTACACTTTTAACCCTTTTTCTTTAATTATTACATAATTTTTAGATTGATTTAAAATTTT